AAATATAATATGAAATTTACAGATAACCTGAAAATCATAAGCAGTTTGTCGCCGGCACAAGGCTTGTTGGAAAACAGTTGTGGAGAAATTGAATGCCAACTTGCCTACATTTGATGAGATAAATATTGGATTTCCAATAATCTATTTCATGTCTGAAAATATACTCACTGGCCACAATAAAAAATACAGGTCCGTATTTAAAAATTCAAAGATGGGCGTGGCCCAAGTCAGATGACACCCTATATAAAAAATTCATGGACATATTCTGATAGCCCACATCAAGTGCTAATAGTAAAATGTGGACAGATTTTCAATATGTCTGCGAATAAAGAAGATATAGGCAAAAAAAGTATTTGAGATTTTTTTGGTTTTTCCTATATATCTCCAGAACCAGAAGAGATATATTCGATTTTTTCACATCATTGAATAGGTCTTTGCCATAATTCAATCGACACTCTATCTCTTATCGTTTACGAGAGCCCCATGTACAGAAACGAATTTGAATAGCCCTGTATATATTTGAGTTTAGTCAAGGAAGTAGTCGATTTAATTTTAGTAGGTAAACTGGTAATGGGTATTGTATGATAGTATAATGATTTCCTTCTAAATCCACATACAATTTTTTACTGTTTTCAAATCACCGCATTGCCTAGTACGTGTATCATACTTATTAGTATATAAATTGTTTATGAATTGAGTGTAATAATATGGGATATTGAGGAATGTTTCTTCATATGTTTCGCATTATCAATTTTATTTATTACTTACTCAAATGGTATTCTTTTTTCAAATAAACAGTTCATTTATATATATTTGTATTCAAGTAACACTTTTTTGTATAATTCTCAGTGAACAATTTACAAAACCGCCCAAACACGTGTTTTACTATAAAATAGCTTCCTCCGAAAATCTCTCATTTTCATCGAGTATCGTTCAATAACATCGCAAATGAAATTTGTCTCTTGAAAAAAAATTCCACTACTTTTCTGAAAATCATCACCCGAGGGCGCATTCAGATCAAAATTTAAAGGGAAGTAGTTCCAGAATTTTGAAAGAAGTAATTTTTCAGAGGGAATGATTTATATATTTCACTCATGTGGAATGTATTGAATGTTCAAGATGAACACTGATCCCAAACACCAGAATTGCAACACTCTTCTCGTTGACGTTTCACCAACCGAATTGGCGTCATCAGGAGATGAAATTTACTAATTTTCAAATCTGGAACTTGTCTCTATTTATAAATAAAAGATACACTGTTAGTAAAAGCAGACGTTCCAAATAAGTGGAACCACCTATTGGTGTGACACTCAAGTCAACTTGTAAAGTTTTTATGTCAGTGTTGGTGGATCGACCAATCAACCTACAACTGTGGTAGCAGAAATTTGGAAAGCTAACCTGAAATGCTATCGGAAAACGAATCCACATGTTTCTAGAAATTACATGAATTCGAGAAAGGTTAATACAGTCGAGCTGCTGGAAAAGAATTCCATGAAAATCTAAAGATGAATAGATAAGTACTATTTCGATCATTGCCATATTGATTTCAATCTAACAGCCACCGGTAGACAGCTGTTTCAGCGTATTGAGCATCGTCAGTACCGGGCAGGCGGTCCTCTATTGAAGACAAAATGTGAACAAAAAAGAGAAGTACTTGATAATGATAACTGCGTAAACGCAAGCGAGACATAGGTGGAACCACCTATTGGTGTGATACCCAAGTCAACTTGCCAAGTTTTCATATCAGTGTTGGTGGTTTGACCAATCAACCGACAACTGCGGTAGCAGAAATTTAGAAAGCTAACCTGAAATGTCATCGGAAAACGAATCCACATGTTTTCTTCAGTTTTATGAGTTTTTCCTGAAAAAGTAAATAGTCTAGGTTATGAATTTATCATGTAGAAATTTGTCAAGTAGCGATAGTCATAATGATTCAAATTACTATAAAAGCATGACACATAATTTGTTCAAGCAGTATTGTGACGCCCGTTGATGCTATTGTATAGCGAAATATGTATTGCGGTTTTGTAAAATTTCAAGTAGAAAGCTGACAAGCTGAAAAGTGTTTTTTGAATACGTTATCACTTGTTGTTTATTTTTTACTCCATCACGGCCTTGACGGATTAAAGAAGTGTTTTTTTTCCTTTCAACATGTGATTTCCAGCAGAATTGAGTAGTCTTTTCTACCATTATTGTGTCTTTTGTTATGCTGAAATTTTGGTATAAACCCACTTGAATGAATAGAATTCAAAAAGTCAAATTTATTTAAAATCAAATTTGTTTTAAGAAATGATAAGTTACAAAGAGATGAATAATAAGGAAACATTGCAGTGAATTCTGTTTCAATTATGTTATTTATTTGTTTGTGTTGATAAACAGTAAATTCTTGGATCATTATACTCTTTTCTCATAATAGAAATTCAATGTACAACTGTTTTCAAGGCCAACGTCCGAAAAGTCCTGAAATCTTTGAAGGAACGCTATTTGAAAGTACTGGACAAAAACAGGAAACTGTTACCTAGCCAAATCATCCCAAAAGAACAACTGGAACTGGACAAACGAGTGACCAAGTATGTAGACGATGAATTTCAAAGTCAACTGGATTTAGTGAAAAGAAAGCTTGCCTACAACCAGGCAAAATCAGAACTACAGATGCTGAAACTACGTAAATATTTGACCGATCCAGTTGATAAACATCCCATAGTCGTCAAAGGAATCAACAATCCGAACATCGAATTGATGACAGTGCGACAGAGGGTGATGGGTTCTCTATTTCCTTCAATGATGACCGTAGTCCACGAGAAGCTGATTGAGGAAGTATCGAAAGGCAGGTCATTAAATACTTTTTTTATTGGAAGTTCACCCTCTTCTTTTTCAACATACAGTCATATCGACTAAAGAATACACATTCGTCGTCAAAAAAATACACAATAGAATACATATTTTTATAATTCATCATAAAACAAGAAAAAAATGAACAGTTACCGTTCGCTTCAATCAATTTGAATGCTAGCTAGAGAAGAGATAAATTATACAAACGTGAGTTGTCGGCAAATTTTCAAATTTTGAGATGAATTGAGAGCATATACTAACGTTTGACAGTTCACATTGTTCACTGGAGATTTCCTACGGTTGCAATTCTCTCATACTCCACAAATAGTTGTTTTCACAATTACCAAATTGATCAACCAAGTTGATAGTTTGTCCTAATAATTGATGAAGATTTGAATTTCGAAAGTCTTATGAATGAGCAATCAGAAGGATATATTTTTTAGATACTCATATACAAATTCTAATTTATAATGGGCACATTCTCTCTCGAATTAAATATCTCATTACAATTTGGTCAGCCTGCACTCATACCAAAAGAATATAATTCATCATTTAATGAATGAAGATACCAAGGTAATATTTAATGAAGCATGGGATACGTCATCTTTGGAATTATACAAAATGATTAATGATATGACTATGAACTTCGAATATAAATTGTTTAAAAATATCCTGAAAAGTAGTATTCAATTGATTGAAAAATTCTAAATATCTTGATGAAAAAACCAAAATTCTCAATGATTTTCATCTTGATTTCATACATACTACTGAAAGAAAGAATAATCCGATTTCAAATCATTTAGAAGTTTTCAATAATTTGCCTGCAAAAATGAAAGAATCTGAAACAGTTAATTTATTTTTCAAAAACATAAAAAAAAATTTTTCGATTCATTATTGATCATTAAATTATAATTATTCGAATGTTTATATTTTTTACTATCGGTTTTATCAACTTCCTTATGCCAGCATAATTTTCGTCTAAAGTTTCGTATCAAATAAATGAGTAAATCCATTCCAACCTTTTTCCTCTAATCGGTTGCTTGTAACTTCAACTTTGGTATAGATATCACGCATGCCTTTCACTCAACTATCTAGTCCACTTTTCATTCGTTGTACATCCAATTCATCATCCCATTTTCTAGACCCATTCTCCGGATATCTTGAATATATAAGTATAAGATTCATATCTTGCAAAGAATCGAAAATATTATTATCATTATTGAAAATACTTACACCACACATTATTTTTTCGTCACAGATACTTTTCATTCTCTATTTGAATTTTTCTAATATTCCTCTTGATTTTTGAATCTTTTAAAAATCCCGTAAAATCAATCCAATCGACTTGAGTCCATTCACAATAAACATTTTCATACGTGGCTTCATCTGCTTCAGTGTTTGAAAGCCAATTTCATTCTAAAGGTACCCAACGAACAAGATATACGAAAGGGATGTCTGAACGAACGAATCTGTCAAACAAAATAAACCTCAATTTTAATTTCACGATTTTCTCTAATAGTTTCTTCTAATCGGATGCTTGTAACTTTAACTTTGATATAGATATTAGACATGACTTCCAAAGAGAGTTGCCATCACAAAACTAACAATAATCAAGTGTTTATTATTAATTCACAAATAGGCAACTGAATCACCCATTCATATATAACTTAATATTTTTGGATGAGATGCTAATTCTAAACCATATAGAGCTTTACTTATTTTTTAATATCATTCAACCATTTAGTCCACTTTTCATTTGTTGTGCATCCAATTCATCATTTCATTTTAGAACCATTCTCCGGATATGTGGCATTAAAATTTTGGATTTTATCGTGAATAGAGACATGATAATCTCAAGTATATCTATATTATGAATGGTCTGATCCGTTACTTGATGAAAATTAATAACAATATCCATGTACTTGTGATGCACCTTTTGGAACCTTTGGTATAGTAATGGATATAACTGAAGTTTTATCCCAACACCAAACCGTTATTTTCGACACCTCGACACGTGTTTCAATCACCAAGTGATCATGTTCAAGAGGAAGATTAAACTGAAGATGATCACTTGGTGATTGAAACACGTGTTGAGGTGTTGACAATAACGGTTTGGTGTTAGGATAGAACTCCAGTAGTATTCAACACCATCCATGATTATAATCAAACAATTTTCACAAACGTTTTCATTTCTAGACGCGTTTTGCTAACACCGCAGCTTCCTATTCTTGTGAGGATGGAATGGTGATAAACTCCGTAATAATCACAAAAAAAATCCAATTTAATTGCCTACTTATTGTAAGACATAATTTGAAATATATTTGTTCGCGTTTTATGTGAATACACACAGCAGGACAAATACACTGTCTCTCGACGCAGGTTCGCTAAGACAGGGTGATTGATATTTGACATCTCCTAATTGAACTGTTCTTTGACATTTTGTAGATAATTTTTGTCGGATCATTCTCTGCACCTATTTTGAGGGTGACAGTCCCACTAACAGCAACTAAGCTATCAGAAAATGAAACCTTGAAGTCTCCAACTTTTGATGTACAGACATCCTAGGCCATGTATCGTTGACAAGTTGAAATAGTAGAAAACGCCAATGGCTAGAAGACAAAGAAGCCACTGCAAAACATTTCTAAAGTCTAACACGATTATAGAGGATTGGAAAAAATCTTGAAATGGGATGTAGGCAACGAGTATTGCAAAAGTTGTCTTAGAGGCAATTAAAGAGACGATAACATCAACCACACACATTTTGCAGGAACAGTATACTTCGAAGCATTGATTTGGCCTATCGCCAACCCCCAAATCGATGTTTGAAAGGATAGCAAGATTATCTGCAGATATAGGGTTGAAAACGACCAAGACGATAGATGAAGATTAAGATCCACCAACTGAAAATAAAAATAATTGTCGGTGTAACTATCTTCATTCGGGTTTGCATGTCACATGCAGTTGCATGTGAATTTCTACTGTACATCCCTAGGGTTACAGACAGCATAAAATAAAAAGAGTTTTCAAGCCCACCAGGAAAATATAACAGAGCCTTAGATCTGTGGAAGGCAAAAGAGATCCACTGTCAGCTGTGGGGGTATATCATATACCATGCACCTGCGAAAAAGTTGATATCGGTACCACCAAAAGATCCATGGGTACAAGGCTTACTGAACATCGGAGAAACTGTAGTTTAGGTCAAATAGACAAATAGGCAGTAGCGAAACACGCGCTCAGTGAAGGAGATCACGCTGTTGCATTGGCAAGAGCGCAATGCAATGTTACGTCATTAACAGGTAATAACACTTTGGCCAATAGCAACGCATGAATTCGATCAAGAAATAACATCTACGAATTACCAGTTGAAAAAAGAAGAAAGCTAGAAAAAAAAGGAGGTGAGACATACTTTAACAAATGAGAAGATGCTGTGTGGTTGTACCAACTCCAAATCAAAAATTGATTTCAAAATCTACACCTCACAATTTGATCTCCACAAACTTTGTGGAGATCAAATCGTGAGGTGTAGTTTTTGAAATTACTATGGATTGTCATCAAGCAACGGCCAAATCGATCAGAAAAAAAATTTATTGTTTCGCAGAGAAGAAGGAAAAGTTTCATGAAAAGAAAATAATTGGCATTTGGCTAATTCCAAAGAGAAAACCGCTGATTAACCACCTATAATGATCTTGAGAAGGGGGTTGAATGTTAAGCTGTTGTTGGAGATGCACCGGTGTTGGCTCAGTTATCCGATAACTTATAGTGATGTCATCAACAAGACAGGCGGACTACCTGAGTCAACATAAATACAACCTACGAACTAGAAATCACCAGTCATCGCTGAATCATCGAGATGTACACACCTCTGAAGAAGCCAGCCACTCGTGCTGGCGAAACGTTAGAATGCAGTTCCAAACTACGACGGCCTTCCAACCCAAATGAAGATAGTAACAACAAAGAACAAGACAAAGCAGCCTGTTGACAAAAAAAACATCGCGTTCCGAAGATAGACTATAGATCACCAATCCGATTCCAGATTCAGGGCAAAACCCGTTAGTGACGAATGTACAGCAGAAAGTACTCGCTCTGAGATCGATGACGTTGAGAATGGATACTGGTAATGACTAGTTCAGACTTTGCAACCCCCGTGAAAGGAGAAAAACAATCGATATTCATAAGGGAATGGACCTGAGGACCAGAAATGAGATAAGAACATGCAAAAAAAAAGATGATGGCCTGAAGCACATTCCATAGATGGGCTGGGCTATCTTCATGAGAGTCGATCACGAACAGCATCAACATGACCCTGACATGATTTTGACAGTATTATCTTTGGAATCTTTGGTACTTGGATAAAGCAAATACAGCCGAGAGAATCAGTGGGCGAAGGAAAAGTCAATGAATTCGATCAAAAAATAACATCTACGAATTACCAGTTGAAAGAAGAAGAAGGCTAGATAGAAAAGAAAGTAAGATGTACTTCAATAGGCGAGTAGATGAGTGTGGTTGTACCAACTCCAAATGAGAAATTGATTGTTCCGCAGAGAAGAAGGAACTGTTTAAAATAATTGGATCCATCGCATTTGGCTACTTCC